GACGTTTGGCGGGCAAAGCTTATACCAAAAGCTTGTTGCGAATATATTTGAACGGTTGAAGGTTGAATTTACCAAGGACACTAATCTGGGAGATACATAGAGATACGCAAAGCAAAATTTTAAAAAAAAAACTAATAATAATGACTAGGATAGATATGTTTGCCACAGCTTTATGGATTGGGTAGAAAAAACATTTCCTACTTTTATTGCATAGTAAAACGAAATTACCACTAAACAGGAAAGACTAAAATGCCTAGGCTAATTAATTGTTTTCCAGACTGCTTTTTAAGTAGCTACATAATAAAGAAAACAAAAATAAATGTACCTCATTTTGAAAAGTAAGAAACGTATTTTGTAATATGTTCAGCTATACTGATTATTACCATATTCCCCATAAAAGCCCAACTTTACCCTCACATTTTGTTTTATACTGCAACATTTGCGGAAGTTATGGATGCTGTAACCCATAACTTTCACAAATTATTGTAACCCTCCACTAGTCATGGCCAATATCACTAACGTAGGTATGTACTAGAACATTGAGTTTTCCCGGAAAATATGAGCTGCTAGGTTTATTCCTGTCATGTAGCTTGGGGTCCCACAGGCCACTGGGAGTAATCCCCTTTAGTGTGGCCTTACTGGCCTGAATTATACAAAAGAACGGACTCATATCGTCGTTTGTGTGTGACGGATGGGCAGCCTGTATTTTAAGTGACAAATTGGACATGTCTGGATTGGTTACATGGACTGTAATCATTAATTGCAAATAATCGTAGGTTAGGTATGCTACAAATTATATAAAATGTACCCATTATTAAGTAATACAGTAAAATATAATCAAATAACTGCCTTGTTATGCATAAAAAAATACAATGTAAATGTAAATGATAAAAGAAAGTTAATGAGCTCTCATAACTACGTAAGTAAGTTATTGCCTATGATCCGAAAGTCAGAGTGTCCGAAAACCTATGAACAAGTTCATAAATATCCCAAATCTGCTGATAATGTTACTACCACCGCCATCTGTCGAGAATTTCCGGAAACGCGACTGAAACTGAAACCGGCGAACCAAAAGCACCGCAATGTTTTCAGGAAACAAGTTCCTACTTAACGGCGCTAGTATCTGTGTTGATATTGCGGTATATTTTCCCGCCTCATTTTTCCTGTGAGGAACCATTGAGCTGTAAAGATTCCTGTTGGGTTTTTAGCGGTTGAAAGAGGAAAATTTTGTATAATGATAATCTGTAGAGATGGCGCTAATTTAGCATCCACGTTTTCCCGACTGCGGAAAATATCATGGTGTTCATAGAATCACAGAAACGCGATTGGCTGTTCTAGAAGCTTTTATTTTTGCAACGTAGGTAGTACCTTTGTTTGTCAATTGAGGGACAAAAATATTATCTAGATTTCCTGAACAATTGGGTATACGAGTAGACCTAAAATTGAGGTCTCCAATCAGAGAATCAATGATAAAATATTTTCCTTTCAGAAAATCAAGTTATGTTAGTTTTTACCTTGACTTCACATAGGTAACATATCTTACAGTAACTAATAAGCATTAAGTTGCTCTAAATATTAAAACCTCATACAAAGAACAGACTCGTATGATTGAAAGTAGGAAACCCGAGACTGAAGTCTGAAGCTTTTAGCGTGATGGTACAGACTTGGCTTTCACGTCTAAGCAAACAATTTTAAAACACTTTAAGCTTTTTCGTTTACTGGCTGCGTAATCTGATAAGAAATCTTAACAATATACCATTATAATTTTAGGGTTCCGTACCCAAAGGGTTCCAATGGATCTCTAATACTAAAGCCCAGATTTTTTTAGTCCCTTTTAGGGTACAGCAGGCGAACTAACTGCCAACCGGTTATTATGCAAATCATCAGGTGAAGTATATGTTCAGACGTGGACGTCCTATGGCTGAAATGATGATTATGATTATGATGATGATGAGGCGAACTAAAACGCATACGGCATTCTCTCCCAGTTACTGGTTGGCGTGACAAAGTAACAGACAGTTACCTTTACAATATTAGTGGATTAAGTGAACCATCCAGCCCTTGCAAATATCCGGAGACAGACAAACATAATTATTTATGACATGCTAAAAGCAGTCGCGTGCTGTGGTGCCGAAGCAAGTCACGGAACGAACGACGGCACATCAAGCTTACACTGCGGCATTTTTGTAGTTGTAATAGAGCATATTATGGAACAAAAATGTACAGTCTCATGTGCTGACGACTGTACGCTTGGGCAAATCGCAAATTGAAATTTAAAGTAGGCACCATTCATTTGTCATTTGCGAAACTCAAAACATGCTTTCGGAAGACGTTTGAAGCCAATTTTCACAAAATAAATGCCCCAGTATTTTGTGACACGCGTCCAATATTACTAACAAATAATAACATTTTTGTAACGCGCGAAATAAAAATAAATTACGAATAGTTGATAGTTGAAACTAACCATTATCCCAAAATTGAATTTAAAACCTTGAATAAAAAGTAAAACATTGTAGCTATTACTTATTTGCCTTTTAAAATGCTAGCTGCCATGACTTACAAATTGTTTACAAGCGAATAAATAAATAAATAGGTAGAGTATTTTTGTGCAAAGTTACTAAAATTACTATCAACCTCCCAAAATATTCTCACCTATTTATGTGACAAAGTAAACAAATAAGTTATCAGAATGTAATTACGTAAGTTATCAGCTCCCTACCACACTGACATTGCGGTTATGTACCTATCTATTTATTTATTAGTCCAAAGATAACAGTTATGTGATAATATTGGTGATCAAAATATATTTTTTTGTATTTTTTTTATTTCTTACCAACTAAAATTACCAAACTACCCAATAAGTAGAACAGATATCATTGACTTTCACTGCATTGCTAATTATTAGATTTTTATTCTATTAAAGGATGATGGGCATATTGGGCGTTAAACCAACAGAAACAAAAAGTATACTTAATTAAAGCTTAATACTAGTACTTCATTTCATAGTATGACAACAATCCTGAAATACGCGGGGATACGGACATAGAGGTCGTTGAATATGCAAAGTTTCCATAGTATTTCACATCACTTTAGGGTAATAAAAATAGTATTAGGTCAATTAGATTGCTTTTATCGATCATATTGAGAGTATTGTATCATATCTTACTATCGATTCTATCGATTTAGTAAGTATGTATACCGAATAAATCATAATCGATTATTCGATTGCAATAATCGATTATATTGCTGAAAATAAGGAATTGAATTAACAATCAAATGATAGTAATGATGGTAATCAATAAAATCGATTAATCAAATTGTTAATCGATATATCGATATTTGGCAATATCGATTATGCGACAACACTACAACTTAACTGGTAGAAATCCCCTTGAAACATGACTGTGTTCATGTCCTTTCTCTAAATGGTACCTAGGTATGGTCCTACGCTTATAATGTAGAACATGGTTTAAATATACCATTTGTTGGCCCCACTCCTGAACTGTTGGACATAATAATGGATAAATAACTTAATGTATTTAAAATGTAAGTAGATAAGTATATTAATTATTAATATTTTTTGTTTACGCAATAAAGCACCTATTACCTACTATTACACATTATGTCAATTTCCAAGCAAACCCGGGAGTTTTTGGTAGTTATTTATATGAAAATATATTTCTGATATCAAGTCCTAACAAATAATAGTAGTTACATTTCTGTTGGTTTTACGCCCAGATTCCATAGAAAAGTGCCCATCATCCTTTACTAAATATAAAAATTTACATATAATTGCACCGATGCTCAATAGGGTTGACAACTAATTCGAAATTAATTAGCAATGAAAAAATAATAATTTAATAAGTTTTTTATTACTTTTCATTTGTTTTGAAATAATTATGAAATCATATTTTTAAATAAAAATTCATTAAAAAATAGTACGTGGATTACTTTTTGACATTTTATTTGTAAAAGAATAAAAGAAACCAAAAAGTATTTGTCAGAAGTGGGATTCGAACCCACGCCCACAGAAGTGGACTGCGACCTGAACGCAGCGCCTTAGACCGCTCGGCCATCCTGACATATCGGGAGCGGGCGAAATTGATTGTCACACACTATTTAAAAAATCTGATAGAAAAATGGACATTTTCGTGGGAATTTCCCAGAAAACAACTCTAGTAAAAAGGCCTCTAAAAAGCATTCAGCACCTTTAAAATACGTACAAATTAATAAATAGGATTTACAACTTAACTTGAAGTAAACAAAAAAAAACCCTCTTTATGCATTAATTCAAGGTGCTATTTTTAGATGGCCAACCAATAAAAACATCTTAGGAGCCAACTAACTAATCTTGTTGGCGATCATTGACGTTTATTTTTGGTATACCTCTAACTATATTTCAGTAATTTTAACATTTATTTAGTAATTTTGAATAATCTTTTCTTGTCACCTGTCATCCGCTTTGCAATGCAGGGAAGTAGAACCTTAATTTCGAACTCCTCCTATGTTCTTCTGATTAATTTCGTTGTGGGTCCAATGACAGTTTAACTTTCCCCCGGGACAAACTTGACCTTCATTGGTTGGGTTTTTGAGGCGGTCAAGCTGAAGATCCTTGCTACACAGGAGTTGCAGTGGTGGGAACGAGAGGTGGGAATAGTCCCGTAGTAATTTTGAAATGAAATTAGATAATTTTGATGTTGTGTATAATAAATCTTAAGAGTGATAAATAATATTTTGCATATATTATTTATCCTTTATTTATTGGTAACATAGATAAATAAATGTAAAATATTAAATAAAAAACTACTATTATTATTTCTAGATAATTGTAGTTTTGTTGGTCAATTCAATAAAATGTAATTCAGTATTTAGTATTTCATAAATGCGTGACAACCCTATCCACAGCCCAATCTCCAAATTCACACGGCGCGCTGCGGTTTCTGCCGCATAATATAAAGGCGATCGCTACACATCAGTAGCTGTATACTTAACCATTTGTCTGAGTTTGTGTCTGTCACCATGACGACCATCACGATTGACCTGGAGAAAGACCCTGCGGTCACCAATTTGAGAAACTACCTCCGAATCCGCAGCGTGCAGCCTAATATTAATTATGGTAAGATGAAATTAAACAGTAACGTTAATTAAACACAGGATGTGCTCCAAGCCTGGTAAAACTATTTGTATTTTCACTAAAAAAATAATATTAATGAATTTATTGACTAATTAATTTATGTATTACGATTTTAGTTCCATTTGAGCGAAATCGACCCAGAAAATCGATCGATTTATAAAATACTAATCTACCCTAAAAATTCGAACACTTTTCATTTCAAAATTCACTCTGATTCAAGGGTTAATCTATGGCACATGAATTTATCACGGCACGAAGCACGTATGTATTTTTTTCGGGTTGATTCAACTCAAGGCTTACAGTCAAAACTTTTATTTTTTATAACATAATCTTTGACCTATTTGGCCAGAGTCTAAGAGCAGGCTAGTTATTAAATCAAATCAAATCAAATCAAATCAACTTATTTATTAATTAACATAGTTATCGCCATAACTTTACATTTAATATGAAATAAGTACTTAGTGTCGCTAGCAATGGTAACTAATAGGAGCTAGGACAGAAATACAGACGAGTATAGAAACCGATAGCCGAAAGTGTCGAGACGACACGACTGCTGCTGCTGCGTAGAGTCGGTGACGAAATCGTGACTAAGGCTCAGTTGCACTACCTAACTTTAACGGTAACTATGACGATAACCGGTGCATTTTGTATGGAGTTTGACAGATTTTTGACGTTTGTTACAGTCAAAGTAAGATGGTGCAACCCAGCCTAAGTATATTAGCCAAAGCTGTGTGTACCTGTTATTGGAATGCATACACACTAAACTTCTATAATATGTAAGATTTTCATGTACCTAATTACTTTGTATGTAATATTGTTGGTATACCTCAATAAATAAAATAAAATAAAATGGCCTCCCCCAAGGATTTCCAAAAAGACCGGTCCTGCGCCGCTCGCATCCAGTCACCTCCCGCGACCTTCACCAGATCGTCGGTCCACCTGGTGGGACTAACTAACTAACCGGTCTTTGTGGAAATCCTTGGGGAGGCCTTTGTCCAGCAGTGGACGTCATTCGGCTGAAACGAACGAACGAACGAAAATAAAATGACCAATTTACATTTTGCACCCAGATGAATGCATCACCTACCTCCGCGGTCAGGGAGCGCAGCTGGGCCTTCCCGTCCAGGTGTTCGAGCCGGTGCCCAAGAAGCCCGTGCTGGTCATGACCTGGCTGGGAACAGAACCCGCGCTGCCCAGCATCCTGCTCAACTCGCATATGGACGTCGTGCCCGTGTTTGAGGTTTGAAATTACATTATTTACATTAGAATATTACTCCGTGATCATGGCGCTTGCAACAGTGCCGAAATATCGGATGAGTAGCAATCCCGTAGTTCCCGTATTCTGATGTTAGTGCCCATTAAAGTTTAAGACAATATAATAATTACTCCCTGTTTCCTAAGTTTCACATATCAGATCTAACGCAATCTAAAAAAATATTACTAAACTGACGACTACGTGGTGTTTAATGGAGACAGAAGCATTTGGACTGAAAACTGCCAGACATCTCTATTTGATATCTATGAAACCAAAATTTGTAGTTTATTTGGCAGATTAAGTTCCGCATAGGCTTATAATATTGGACGTTGACGGCCTGGTGATGAATTCCTGGTGGGGAATTATAGAAATTCTATTGATTGGCTCGCTTTTGTATATGCCAGGAGACACTTATGTATAAATCTTTCGTTTTCATAAAACATATCCATTCTTGTAGGCTAGGATCCAAAGCTAAAGTCACTCTAACTATAACATAATCCGCCATCTTTGTTTTCAGAAAAGCTGGACCCACCCGCCTTTCGCCGCGGATCTAGTAGACGGCGTCATCTACGCTCGAGGAGTCCAGGACATGAAGTCGGTGGCGGTGCAGTACATAGAAGCAGTACGGCGCCTCAAGGAGAAGGGCATACGGTTGAAGAGAACCGTCCACTTGTCTTTTGTGCCAGGTATTTTGAACCCCTTTTTGGTAGAAAACTTCCTATAGTCTGGTCTGTGAGCACGTAGAATTTTGTCCAATGACCCCAAGCTACCCATCCTTATCGCTCGCACGTAATTACACTGCACACTCACTGCGGGCGCCCGTCGCACAGTCGCGACAGCAATTAATTATTACGCGCAAGCGATAAGGATGAGTAGCTTGGGGTCATTGGACAAAATTCTACGTGCTCACAGACCGGGCTTTAGTCTGCATCCCTCTTAAAACCCAATGCGATTGTGGTCAAATACCTGCCTTGTTATGCATAAAAAAAGGAAAAATATTTTTCATTGCATTTGAAACTATTTTCGTGTCCCATTTCAACCAAATGACGTCCATTCCTAAAGATTATCCTCCAATCCGTCAAGGATTATCTACAATGCCAGGTCTTGTGCTACCCGCATTCAGTTGCCTTCCGCGACCTTCACGAGATCGTCGGTTTATCAAGTGGGCTTCGCTAAGTCGTCTAGTCCTAGAGCGCCGCCACTCAAGAACTTTCGACATTTTTTCTTTTTATTAAAGTTTAGCAATAATCTAGAACTTCGCGTTTTGAATTGTTCTTTTCATTACTAGTAATTAGACAGTAAAAAACATTATTTATTAGATAGCAATGATAGCTTATCATTTCTTAATTGAAAGCATTCGTACGTAACCATGACTCAAAAACCTGTATTGTGCATGTTACGAACGGCCTCCTTTTAAGTCTATGTTTTTATAATTTTATTTTATTCTATGGTTTGTCATCTTGTCATCGGTCTGTGCCTTCTATTATAACCCTGTATTCCTTTATTCCTCTTATTCCTTAATATAGCCCTTTCCCTGAGCCCGGGTATCATTTTTACTCCTTTTTATCCCAATTCCTAACATTTTGGTCCTTCTTCCGGCAAAATTTATAAAAAAAAAANCGTCTAGTCCTAGAGCGCCGCCACTCAAGAACTTTCGACATTTTTTCTTTTTATTAAAGTTTAGCAATAATCTAGAACTTCGCGTTTTGAATTGTTCTTTTCATTACTAGTAATTAGACAGTAAATAACATTATTTATTAGATAGCAATGATAGCTTATCATTTCTTAATTGAAAGCATTCGTACGTAACCATTAGTCAAAAACCTGTATTGTGTACATGTTACGGTCAAAGTGATAAATGTGAGAATTATGAATAATCGCCGGTTATTATGAATAATTACCGCATGATTTGGTAAATGTGATTAATATGAGGTCATTTATGTGTGTATAAAACTAAATAGGCGGCTTAGGGGTGGCCCAAGGGCCACCCCCGCCGCACCTTAACCTATTTTTCACTTTAAATCAAAAAAATATGTTATAGGCATCATGGAAAAGTAATATTATGCAAGAAACATTCCAAACTCATTATGCCAAATTATATTAATATATGATATCAAAACGTTCAAAAGTTTGGCTGTACACGAGCACGTACCTACACAAAATGTAGTGCTCTTTTATGAAATTTGTTAGTACTAAGGTTGAATTATTAAATAATCACTGTTAAATGTGATTAATTTATTACTTTTACCGCGACTGTCGGTAATTATTCATAATAACCGGTTATTATTAATAATTTTCAATTTATCACATTAACCGTAACATACATACTTTAAAGTAGAGCAGTAAATACAAGTTCGTGACAACATTTGTGTTGCATTCTTGACACAAGCAAGCTTGTTAATTAGCCGACATTGTATAAAAAATAATTTACCATGTTATGTATATTGGCTCGGGGTGAGAGCACATTTTCGCGTTCATTACCGCAATGAACTGAAACCGAGTTAAGTTAACGAAGCGTGTGAACCGCCGGCATTTTACGCACGGACTAAATGAATATACTCGTATAATATAATATTATTTTGGTAGATATTAGTATGTTTTAAAGATAACATTTGTCCAAAAGGTTTACTATAAGTTACTAATCAAACCCAAAAAAAACCCAAAAAGAACCTTTTGTGCAACAGCTTACCAAATTGACTATTCTCATGTAGGTAGTATGAGTTATAACATTGTAAAGCTTCATCAAAACCAGTTCACTAGTTTTTGACTTTATAATAGGTATTAGATCAGACAAGTTGACCTACCTACTACCTATATTTAATTATTTAACACATGACATGTGCTTGTACGTTGCGTATACGTTTTCAAAAATTATATAACACTAAAAAAAAATAAAACCGACTCCAAAAAACCTACACTAAAACGTAGAAAAATAATTACTAATTACCTACTTATTTATTAGGACGAATTATTAATATTTATGTAGGTATACCATGATTGATACTTAAAAAAAAAAAAAAAAAAAAAAAAAAAAAAACATACGGGTCGAATTGAGAACCTCCTCCTTTTTTGAAGTCGGTTGAAAATAAAAATGCATGTTTAGATTCCTAAAGCTGGGTTGCACCATCTTACTTTGACTTTGACAAACGTCAAAAATCTGTCAAACTCCATACAAAATGCACCGGTTATCGTCATAGTTACCGTTAAAGTTAGGTGGTGCAACTCAGCCTAAATAAAAATGGCTGATCAACATTTCAGAGCTAAATCCTCTAACCTCAACAATAATCCGGCACACGTCTGATGCTGACACGCTGCCACATGCGCACAGCAGCTTACAGCTTAACATTTTCATGCACAATAAGCATAAAAATCATTATTTCATTTAATATTTATTTTTAAATTAATTGCTAAAATTTTTATCTCAAAATTAAGTTCATTTTCAATTTTAAAACTTCTTTGAATGCCAAAAACATTTTTTTTTTATATCCGGCTGAAAAGTTCCGGGGTCGTGGATGGAAGATGGATGAATGTTTGTACTACAAATAAATAATTTTGAATTTTTACTTTCACCACAGCTTTCAAGTAAAACTATTGAATGGATTTGATGAAACTTTATTATTACATACTTAAATTACTTATGCATCAAAGTTACATAATTAGAGGCTATAATTTATAAAGAAATTTAGTTAGTTGGCTATTAAAATCCTAAGTGACAAGTAAGATGGTCTTTCTGTAACAAACTGAATTAAACGCAGGCGAAGCCGCAGGCAAAGGCTAGTTTAACCGTATATTTATTTTGTAACAGATGAGGAGATTGGCGGTGGTCCAGGCATGGCCGAGTTCGTGAAGACCGACGGCTTTAAGGGTTTGAACGTGGGCTTCTCCCTGGATGAGGGCCTGGCCAGTGCAACCGACGACTACGTGGTGTTCAATGGAGAAAGGAGCATTTGGCGTGAGTTTTCTTCTTTCTATTGTCTGAGAATTATGTAAAAGCGCTTTTTAATAGCCCATTTGTAAAAAGTTTGTTACTTTTATTTTGATCTTTATGAGACTTTAGGCAAGAGACGAGCCGATAAAGGCTTCTGAAATGGCTCAAAAGACCTACTTGTTTATTCTATGTAGGTACCTACTCGTATTTAAAAGGAAAGCACGAGAATACAACAGAAACAGTGATTTACAAGTGAAATTGAATTGTTAGCTTTAAAATGTTGATTTTCTTAAATAAATGAATATGTTTTTAAAGGACGTCTTAAATCACGTTAATTTATCTTGCAAAGCTTTGGTTAAAGTTTCAAATACATACTTGTGTTTGAAGCGATGATATCATAGAGAACTTTTTCACTGCGTGTTTATCCGCAAAACGATTTCGAATAACTCAAGTCTATCTCTTTCACTTACACATCAATGCCGGCATGAGCGAGAGAGACAGCAAGAGTAGATATCACAACAGAGTCTACAGAATATCCCGGCTTCCCAAACAGTTGAATTAGTTATAACGGAACCCGGAACAGTTATAGCATAACGGCACGTCTGGATGCCCACCGAATGTGTTTGACCTACTTCTGGTAGGGGGATAATTAATTAATCAGGCAACACAGTGGGGTATAATTTTACTAAAGTTTGAATATAAAAATGTGGAAAGATAATATTTAAATATGAGTATAGCGACAAGATCGTCGGTGTTTTTGATTTGGTGTTTTCTTTTAAAAGTAATCTTGATTTAGGTTCAATACGAGTATGGTTTATATCAAAAAGTGTCAGCGTTTTTCTCTGCATCAATAAAGATGCTTACTTATAGAATTATTTTTCTCTATACCAATACAGAAACTTACAAGGTGTCGATTAGAAGCAAATCATTAAATATGTTAACTTAATGACTTCTTCTACTCATAACAATAAGACCTCAAATGTCTCCTTTAAGATACTCTGTCTGTAGAAGACTAAACCCTTGAAGAGGAGGCTGACATGACTGAGTTTCTTGCGCTGCTTCTTCTCAGCACTGGCCCATTTATTGTAGTTAGCAGTGATAGGCTTAATATTGGTGGGACGTGTAAAAGCGCTTTTTAAAAGCCTACTTGCAAAAAAAATAGTTTTATGAGTTTTGAGTTTTTACTCGTATGCTTTATTTAAACCTAATTAATGTAGGTCACTTAAATTCTGTAATAAAAAATGATAATAACGCTGTTTTTTTGTTTCAGACATAGAAGTAACTTGCCGGGGCAAGTCGGGGCACGGCTCGCTGCTGCTTCCTGATAATAACGGGGAGAAGGTAATTATAAACAGTATTTAATTACTAACTTGCCCCTGCTGGGTCTCTTTGCACAGGAGGAGGTAATTTCGAGTTTCCCTTCTGTTACATTGATGTTTTGAACTTCGTTGTTCGTAGAGGTACTTAGAGCTACGTGGGCTGATTTGATCACCTTCTTATCATTCTATACTGTACGAGCTATCGTAAAAACTGGTCGTTTTCATTCCACCTCTCTCATCCTCATAGCATAATATCATCCTTACACTAGCATTCTTTAGTGTAGGAGTTACGCTCTACAGATACCTACTAGAGAAGAAAGATTTGTATTTTTGTATGTTTGTAACGATAAACTCAAAAACTACAGGGCCGATTTCAAAAAATATTTCACCTTTTAAAGCTACATTATCCCTGAGTAAATTAGACTAGCAGACCAAAATTCACGCGGGTGAATGAGCTGGTGGTTGTTTAATATTAATATATGCCACTTTTAACCGACCGTCAAATGAAAATTAGTGTTTTTCAGAAAAAAACCTTTTCCTGAATACATGTATAATTTCATAGTTTAATTTAAAGTTTAGTAACAAAACACTGTTTAGGTAAAAGTTAACAGCGATAATGGATGCACAGTAATGTCTATCCAGTCTGTTGGCTTCGGCCCAAAGTGGTATCCAAGTACCCCAGCCTTATTAGCTCATTATGTCACGTAAGCCTCAATTGATGGCAACATTATTGCGTAAACTACAAAAATATTTTTCACTTGCACAAATCGATTAGAAGGCACCAATGCCCGTTTTCAGCATTAATCCTTAATTTTTAAGTGACCCCTATGGTAACACATAACAGGAATTTTGTTTTCATAGGAGTCACTTAAAAATTAGGGATTGATGGTTAAAACGGGTATACTTTCTCAAACTAATTTTATTTGGAATCTTCCAGCGACTTGGCCCTCTGACCAAGTTAAACTTGGTCCACGGGCCACGTCGCCAGATTGAATTTTTAAATATTATTCTTCCGGTAACTGGGCCCAGTCTAAAACTTTTCATTGAGTGCTAAGTGAAATAATGTAGAGTTCTCCAAGACAGTTTGGCTTTTGTTTCAGTTGATTATTTTCGTATTACAAAATTGGTCTAGGAATTAAGTGGACTATCATAATAGTGACTTACAGAGCAGGTATGTACATTGTACATGTAGCATCCTAGACTGCATCTCAGTTGACATCACTTGTGATTGCGGTCAAATGCCCGCCTTTTCTGCATTAAAAATAACTTAAGTAAGTAGGTAGGTATAATGCTATTCCTCGTAAGACTGTCTGTCAGTTACGTTTACGATTATACCATAGAAATGGGAAAAGGCGCGCTTTATAATATTTCTGCACCAAAGCCGCTGTTAAATCTAGTTAAAAAATATTAATCTAGCACAGTAACATCACATCCACAACACATACTAGATCGCAATTGGGAAGTAAGGACGTGCGAACCATTGGTTTCCCACTTGGCGCGCCGCCAGAACCGATGTCCGCTTGCAGCCTCATACTATCATCTCGTAGCATGTGAATTGGTGTGAACAAGTGTTCTGCAATCTGCTATAACGGTAGGTGGACGTTGTTATAAATAAATGACTGTAATAACTTACCTTGACCTACTGTGTGCTGTGTACCTACCATGAGTTTACGTTATGTGTGCTCGCTAGCGAGTACGTCAAAAATCTCTATGAAGATTTTGTTTCTTGAAAGTAGCCGCTAGGGGCGCTGCACAATATGTCATACAATTAATGTAATTTTTTTACGCAGTCGCTAGCGAGCACACCTAACGTGAACTCATGGTAAGCACACAGTTGTATGGACGATGACGTCAAGCAAAAGAGGCACGGTTTAAAAGGCCCTAAAAGTAAATGTTCTTTAAGTAATCAACAACTATTCCATCGGTAAAGGCCGATAGTCTTTCGCATTTGCATTTGGATCGCCAGTCGTTTTGTTAGCATAAGTAGGTACTAGTTAATTGTAACTTAATTGTTAAATACGTAGAGCTCAAATAGTTTCAAACGATGTAGCTACTTATAGAGATCCTATTACCTACAATTAAATGAGATGCTATAGTCTTTAATTTGCTTAAAGTGGGTACTTAATCTTTACGTATCTTTAAGACTGTAATAAAAGAAAACAGAATAGTTTTAACGAACGCATTAGACTAAGTTAAAAGTGACATTAGGGTAAACATTAAAACCTGAATACTGTAATGACACTAAACTGCTGGCTAATTACCGCAATCTCCAAACCACCAGCTTCTGGAGCGGCTGAATAAGTGATCAGTGCGTGCCGCGCTATGTGGGCACTTTACGTTTAATGACGCTACATAAAGGTTTATTCAGTCTGCAAACGGGACTAGAGAATTCTGTATTTTGGAATTCCGTTGAATAGGTAGTAATTACTGCGAAATCACCTGGAAAAGTCTGAAAAAGAAAATCTTTCAGTGGAAAGATTAATTTATTCTGTTATCAAGATACCTTTACAAGGACCTTTGAAAACTTAACTTAGATAATACTATACGTGATGAAAAATATCTTCAGTTTTTCACGTTTGATTTTAGGGACTAACTTTTTAACTTTTAGTGAGTAAAATAGGGAATGATGTGAGGGGTTATTCGTTTTTTTATTCAGAGATATAAAACTGTCATAACTAAGCACCTAATTATTTAGGTAAGAAACAAAGCGCGTAACTACTTTCTAAGTCTGACCAAATCTTAGTCTATGCATTTATTGACCATGAAGTTTAGTTTATCAAGCTATTTGACCACAGTAACTAAGCACTGTCCGAGCTACAGAGTGCCGCATAGGTAATTCATCGGGGGTGTAGCACGAACGTGATCTGTTGGCTTGGCGCCAGCCGGAAGATTGTTAATCGTGCGCATCCAAATTATACAATGTCCAGGGAAGTGTAGTAACATTTTATGGTTAATAGTTTTAAATTAATTGTATAAATGTAAAAAAAGACATAAAAAATATACCTAAATAAAAATATTAAAAGACGAGTCAATAAATATTAAAAGAACAGCTGATATTTCATCTCGTTACATTTGGTCCCATAATAAAAGTTGTTTTAATCATGACTTGAATGAATTGACATGAATCCTTCAAAATTTGGATCCTTTGGAGCCTTTAAAACTGTGAGCAATGGGACACTTTCATTACTTTCATGCAATTCGTGAGTATCTTAGTGCTACCAACTTGACGTTTCAGCTGTGTTAGGTTACAAACAGACTCAAATGTCGCGATTGAGACCCGTCGCGTTGCTTCCAGTTTCAAGTATTTGCTTCGTTTTAAAAAGTAGCCCTGTATAGATACAGTAGCTCGGTATAAATACAGATCTACTTTTTAAAACGAAGCTACTTAGTCCAGTCAATGAATGCCTTAACGACGGTGTAGAGAGAAATCCGTGGAACACAATTTCTGACCTCGGGACTTTATTTAGCCTAGTTAGGTGGTGAGCATAGCAAAAGTCCCCGCCCTTAGCCCTTGAGCCGGCGGGGAGAGGGGGGTTTAAAGGTACCACTTTTCGGTTTTTCGCTTAATCCTCGGAAACTATGCGTCCTAGTGACATGACTACTATGAACCAAAAAAAGCTTATTCAATTTGCTACAGGTGAGACTGTCAAGTTTTTCTATATCTTGTATAGTTTTTGCGGCATCTGCTCTAGAAGGTCTGTAAAATTGGAAATTTTATTTTTGTCTTACATGTTCCTTTCAGGAGAAAATCGACTAAATCAACATTGAGCAAACACTATAGACATGCGGGAGCATGTTAAGCCTAGTTCCATGGAGGGGACTGCACCGTGCGTATATTTAGACGAACCAATTAGAGCCACTTTTGACTCCTCATCATTCAAAAACTACTGTGCATTAACACTTCAAATTTGGCTCATGTATTGAGACTTGCAAGATATACATCAGCTTCAAATTTCATAAATATACCTCAAACGGTTATTTAGGTATTGACGTTCAAAAATCGATATTTAGAGCACTAAAATCTATCTATCACATGTGAAATGTTAAAATTTACTGGTTTTTTATTTGTTCCTTTGTATTTACATAACTACCTTTCTGGATGCCAAATTTGAACCTTCGAGGTCATCTGGAAGTGGTTAGAATTTGGTCTATAGGTCAGACATGTAGATTTTTGGACGTCAATATCTAAAGAACCGTTTGAGGCATATTTATGAAATTTGAAACTGATGTATATCTTGCAAGTCTCAACACATGAGCCAAATTTGAAGTGTTAATGCACAGTAGTTTTTGAGTGATGAGGAGTCAAAAGTGGCTCAAAGTGATTCGTCTAAATATACGCACGGTGTAGTCCCCTCGCTGGAACTAGGCTTAACATGCTCCCGCATGTCTAGAATGATTGCTCAATGTTGATTTAGTCGATTTTCTCCTGATGGGAACATGTAAGACAAAAATAAAATTTCCAATATTACAGACCTTCTAGAGCAGATGCCGCGAAAACTATACAATTTATAGAAAAACTTGTCTATCTCATCTGTAGCAAATTGAATATGCTTTTTTTGGTTCAAAGTAGTCATGTCACTAGGACGCATAGTTTCCGAGGATTAAGCGAAAAACCGAAAAGTGGCACCTTTAAACCCCCCTCTCCCCGCCGGCTCAAGGGCTAAGGGCGGGGACTTTTGCTATGTTCACCTCCTAACTAGTCTAAATAAAGTCCTGAAGTCAGAAATTGTGTTCTACAGTTTTCCATCTATAATGCTTTATTGACTGGACTAACTATTTAGTACAACCGGCGATTGTCATATGAATGCCTGCAGCGAGGTAATTGCATTCCGGGACGGCCGGCGGGCGCGAAGCCAACGGCACATTGTTAATGGACCGCTTCCTAATTAGGATTACATCTAGCCGCTTTAATTGATACTTTAAGAGTTTCCTAATTATCTAAAAATTAAAAACACATTGGCTCTTTTTATATCTCTAAAATTAATTCAAAACAAAACATTGGGATAATCGTTTTTACAGCAAAACACAGATGTACCTCATTGTAGACCTGTAAAAACTACTTCCATTATTTAATTTTTTGTTTTGACACTTTATTTGTATGAGAAATTGTTAATTACATACCTAATACTTGTATTTATTTATTGAGGCATACCAACAATATTACATCCCAACTATATATAATATTATAAATGCGAAAGTAACTCTGTCTGTCTGTCTGTCTGTCTGTCTGTTACGCTTTCCCGCTTAAACCTCGCAACCGATTTTGATGAAATTTGGCATAGAGATAGTTTGAGTCCCGGGAAAGAACATAGGATAGTTTTTATCCCGGTTTTTGAAACAGGGACGCGCGCGATAAAGTTTTTCTGTGACAGACAAAATTCCACGCGTACGAAGTCGCGGGCGGCCGCTAGTACAAAATAATTACTTTTTAAATAAAAAATTGAAGAATGTATTTATTGCCTTCACATTGGAAACAAGCATACAAATTATACACCGAAGGCAAATGGACGTGACTCTAGCTGCCATATTTGTTGCCATGCCTGAAGGATAAATATAAATTGTTTTTGTCCTTTAACATTAAGTTAATTACAAAGATCACTGTAGGTTACACAAATATATTAGGTTTTATTAACATGAAGTGTTAATTAATATCTCTTTATACATTAAACCGTATATAAAATAAAATTACCTACATCACTGCAAACCACATTAAGCTTGTTATGGCCGCGTGCGTTATCTCGGCACTTACAGAATGCATAATTACATAAGCTTAAGTTTAGTGCTAATTTGCGTATTGGATATAGTTTCATTATTATTATTATCCCATTGGTGGATCTATGGCTATGACAATCAAATAATATGGCTCGAAAATGTGTAGTATTATAATAAAAACAGACTGGTAAACTCCTAATTAGGTGAATTTTTTTATCACTTATGACCTCATAATTTCTGAATGGAAAAGTGTATTTTTCTGTTTTCGGATATTTTTTTATTTCGGATATCCGATAGTTTCGGTTACGGATATCCATAACATCCCTGATCTAAATGAAGGGATCACTTGTTATACTTTATTATAATTTAAAAAATTAATTCATTTACAACTTTTACTCACTTAAAAATTTCAAAGTAACTGCATACGTCACATGCTCATGCATAACGAATACCCTTAAAAAACTCATCTCCATTCGACTTTTTATTGTGCTACATTTATACAATTCTTAATTAACGGTCGGCGAATAATTTTCGCGAGTCGTAAAACTGCCAGAATCGCCGCAATGAACAGAATTGGAAACTTAACAGTATAAAACAAATACTGGATAACAAGACTTTTTGGTGCTATAATAACTGGCCACTTAACAAAATTAGTTATGAAACTGTCTTTTATTTTATTTTTACTAATTTAGTGGTAATATTTAATAACTTTTGGTAATCTGCCCTGGATGCAGGCCGCCACCAACCGGCCATTGTGGAAATCATTGGGGGAGGCCTATGTTCTGCAGTGGACGTCCTAAGGCTGAAATGATGATGATGATGATGAAGAATCTGCCCTGATATCTGTCAGTAAACAAATAATAATTTCTTAGATCTAAATAGTGACGTCACTGGCTAGTATTGCTATACAAAATCTATGGGAGAGTCCCGTTTTGTCAGTTTTAAAAAGTACATCAATTGATTCGTGGTGGCAAATACCCTATTAATTATTATATATTTTGGGATAAATATTAATATTTATAAATCATTTATAACTATTAGATTGGCGATAATAAAGAGTAATTTCGACCGCCTTCATCATGTCAGGATGGCCGAGCGGTCTAAGGCGCTGCGTTCAGGTCGCAGTCCACTTCTGTGGGCGTGGGTTCGAATCCCACTTCTGACAAATCTTTTTTGTCTACATTAAAAAAATATTGTTTGTGCTTTTTTGTTCCCAATGTGCATAATAATCATAAATATCGATTAATGTATGTGTTTTTATTATTTTGAAACTTCCTATACTAGCTTTTGCCCGCGGCATCGCCCGCGTGAGTTTCGGTCTGTCAATCTTTTTTTTTTTTTTTTTTTTTTTTTATGTGATAGGAGGCAAACGAGCAGATCTGCCATAGAAAGCATTACCATACATAAGCAAAACCGGGATAAAAACTATCCAATGTTAAAAACCAAATATGGTCTCAAAAATAATCTTTATACCTAAATAATTTTTATCTAAATCGGTCCAGTAGTTTAAGTTTGAATAAGGAACAAACATCCATCATCCATGCATCCTTACAAACTTTTACATTTATAATATTTGCAGCCTTATGGAACATGATATTTTTTTAATCTAGGAAACATCTAGCTTGTCTGGAAAATATCGCTTTATAGCGATAAGACCGCCCAAATTGTTCCGTATCTTTTGTATATTTCTTTCTTTTTCTTTTCTTATAATGTGTATTATTATTATTGACGGGATTGTTATGTTACCGTGTAGCTTAATTTCATGGCGCTTGCAACAGTGCCGAAATATCGGAGACTCGAAATTAAGGTACATGGTAGCAATCCCGTCAATAATAAATTATTCTGTTTGTGACCATGAAAGTTTAAAACAACATATTTTCTTGCGTGGTGTACAATTACAGTCAGTGGCGTAGCTAGGTAATTAAGGGCCCTGGGGCAAATAAAAAAATGGGGCCCCACTGCAATCTAAACTGGTTAGGTTTTATCAAGTTTATTGACATTAAGCTTACTTACTCTTGATACAACTTTCGAATTTCTCTCTATTTATTTTGAAAATGGGAGAAATTTTCAAAGTTCAGTTCAATTGAGATTTTCTGGTAAGGATACAGCCCGTATCATACGGGGGCCCGTATCTGAGCTTGGGGGCCCCGGAGCACTGCCCCGCCTTGCCCCTTAGTCGCTACGCCCCTGAATACAGTGTGTTCTATCTATCTATCTATGCTCAATGGCGCTTATCTTTCCAGATCCGCTACATCATTGACAAGTTCATGGACCTGCGCGGGGAGTCCAAGAAGAAGCTGGAAGACGACCCCAGCCTGACCATCGGTGACGTCACTTCTGTCAACCTCACCCAGCTTCATGTCAGTGCGACTTTATTTATCTTTGTGTTTGAGACTTTTTCTTCGACAAGAGGCTCTATGTTCGATTCCTTGGAATTTCAGAAGAACGTAAAGTACCTTTTACTACAAAACATTTTAAAAATGTGATTTTCAATCAATCTGAATCTATTAAAATAATAATAAAGTATGCTTTAGAAAAAATTCGTCCGCTTTAGACGAACCAAATTTCTATCAAAGCATACCTTAATGATTAAGTAGGTATTAGATTTACCTAAATATACATTCGACAATACATTTAAAAAAATACCTTATTTCAGTAGTTATTGAAATTCAACCAATCAAAAGGCTCAATCTGTGATTTAAACAAATCTAGTTTTGAGCTTCGTTCTACAATAAGTACATTTCAAAGGTTCTGTGCTTGAAATTAAATCGAGTTTGATTTTCGTTCTATAACAAGCACATTTATTCTCCAACAGGGCGGTATCCACGACAACATCATACCGGAGAAGCTGTCGGTCTGCTTCGACATCCGCCTGGCGCTGTCCGTGGACCACCAGCAGTTCGAGGACATGGTAATGAGGGCTATCGTTTTAGCGCTCACCAGTTAGCGCCACTGTAGAGTAAGGTCCTGTCACTTGCTAGTAGCGAAGACAGTGGCGCCAACTTGTGAGCGCTAAAGTGGTAGGAGGACTATCGCATTTGCACTCATCAAGATGGCGCCAATGTAGAGTAAGGTCCTGTCAATCGCCAGGGGTGCCAACTGTTAAGTATAAAAACGATAGCCCTCATAACTCATTAGCTTATCATCATCATTATTCATCATCGGGTCATTTAGTTTATTTATTTAGGAAAACCTAGGTTTTACAGTGTCTAATAAAAACAAGGCAACAAGTAAACCACTTAAACTAGTTTCCAATACAGGAGAACGACATCAATATGCAATAATTACAAGACACAACTTCTTTGATAAATACACTTCAATCTAGCTTGAAATAAATTATTAAGCTCGCGAATTGGTGACGTCATAGTCCGACATTCTGTGAGTCGCAATTTGACAGCTCATCCAAAGTACTCAATTAACTGGTGTATCCAACTTCCCTATTTAACAGAGACAAAGGGGAGGATTTAACCTACAATAAAATTCAGTGAAGCTTCACTCAGCCTGAACTTATGCAAATAAAAATATGACAGGTACGTTATTCGTGTTGTAACTTGTAACTCTACCCGCATCCCAACTAATATTATAAATGCGAAAGTAACTCTGTCTGTCTGTCTGTCTGTCTGTCTGTCTGTCTGTCTGTTACGCTTTCCCGCTTAAACCTCGCAACCGATTTTGATGAAATTTGGCATAGAGATAGTTTGAGTCCCGGGAAAGAACATAGGATAGTTTTTATCCCGGTTTTTTAAACAGGGACGCGCGCGATAAAGTTTTTCTGTGACAGACAAAATTCCACGCGGGCGAAGCCGCGGGCGGAAAGCTAGTTTTTCATAAATTCTCTGCATATGTTAAACAACACGTCAAAACGTAATACATAATATGCAAATTTTGGCACAATTTATAATACCAGAAGTACCTACGCCTGCATTTTTGATCTGACAGCAATACTGAATGTTAAAATTCAGCAATACTGAATGTTAAAATGCATCATCTTACGTGATAAAATTATGTAGTAGGAATTAGGATGATGACTGGGTAATGAAATCTAAATTCTATTTAGTCCGTCAGACAGATAATAAAAAAATATTGGGCACGTATTTTTCCATTATATGTATATTCGTATGATTCGTATCATTACAGTATTATATTGAGTTGAAATATTGCGTGACGTCACTTTTGAGTAAAAAATCGACTCAAAAGTGTCGTCACGCGACATTTCAACTCAATGTGGCACTGTTAATTTAATTATGTAAGCAATGTTAAATATGTTAGTTTTAATTATGTGAGAAAATAAACAATACGAGTCTAATATTTTCTAATTATCTGTCTGACGGACAAATAATTGAAATTTTGTCATCTAGCCTAATCTTTTTTCCTTGCCAGATCAAACGCTGGTGCGCCGAAGCGGGTTCTGACGTCACGTATACGTTCGCTCAGAAGGACTGCTACGTGGCGTCCACTCCTCTGGACAACACCAACCCCTACTGGCTGGCCTTCAAGGAGGCTGCTGAGAAACTGTAAGTACCTTTTAGTATTATTATCTGGTTTTTAGAAAGTAAACTGAAAGCAAAGGGACTCAAAACACGACGTTTACTTGAGCTTGATGTCCTATCGCCTGTACACGTACGATTAAGCAACTACATGTATCGTCGTATGTTTTGTTTCATAAAGCTAGGTCAGGTACTTTTGAAGACAGAAGATTTCCTAACCGACCCTTTTTCTTTGCGGTCCTTAAAATCTTCATTTGAGCGTGCCTTGATAAGTTCGTCGGGTTTTGTCTGAAATGAGAAATAGTGCAGGACGCAGTGGTTCCTGTTCAGATAAGCAGGTTTTACGAAAATCTCACGTCGTAATTTTTGAGACAAGACTACAAGAATTTATTAAAAAGCAAGAGATAAAAAAAAACTTATTTTAGATCGGAAAATGAGTTTAACGCAGAGCGCAACAAACATAAGATTCAGACATTAATAATTAAAAAAAAAACTTATTTTTATAAAAGCTGTCGGTTGTATGTAGGTACAACCGTTGCAAAATCACAAACGTTTTGCATTCTGTTTTCACTGAACTGAAAACTAAAAACGATACATAGTGTGTTTCGCACTGCAGCCATATTTGCCGATTGAGCTAGTGGTTGTTTAATCAAATAAACGAATTGGATGTTTCCGTTAAAACATTGCCGCCATTTTGTTTGGCGTTCATGCATATTTCGACGTTTAATAGAATGGTAACGATGGCATGTCGACGTAACGCGATCATGCGATGACAATTGAATTACGATGTCGATTTTTATTGAACCTAATCGAAACAATCACGATATATGCAAACCAAGATGGCAGTAAAACATCTTTATTTGTTTTGGTAGAGCAATGAACTACTTGTAAGGTAAAACATAAGTAGGTAGTTGTTACTTCCGTTGCAAAAAGCTTCATCGTAAAAAATACATGAAATATTCATCGCAAAATTATTTCAGCAAAGCTCTATCAATACCTACATTATAACCGACTTTATAATACTGCGTCACTAATATTGAGGACATGAGCGTGTCAATTAGTAGAAAATGTGCCACCGATAGCTTGGCCAATGTGAGCGTACTAAAAATCGTGTTCATCATCATCATTTCAGCTTCATGACATCTGCTGTTGTCAAATGTCTCCCCAATGATTTCCAGATCGGCCCCTTCATCATCATCATTTCAGCCATAGGACGTCCACTGCTAAACATAGGCCTCCCCCAATGATTTCCACAATGGCCGGTTGGTAGCGGCCTGCATCCAGCGCTTTTATGCTGCCTTTATGAGGTCGTCGGACCACCTTGTGTGAATAAAAATAATCGTGGTCAATTCCAGGAACATCTCCCTGAAGCCGCGAACGTTTCCCGGCGGGACTGACAGCCGGTACATTCGTCAGTTAGGCGTCCGTGCACTAGGCTTCTCTCCCATGGCGCGCACGACCCCAATGCTGCACGCGCACGACGAAAACTTGCACGCGGGGACGTACCTTAGGGGCATTGAGATTTACGAGGCTTTGGTGCCCGCATTGGCTAATGTCGACAGCTTCTAAATCTTTTTTTGATGTAAATAAACATGCTTATTCAACAAAGTATCTTTCATTACACAATTTCCGGATTCAAGACGTACCTACGAGTACTTAGGTTTTAATCAATCAACAGATTCTCGTCTTTCCGTGGATGTCATGAAAACAAAACCTTGATTTGCTTCTGGTCAATTAGAGTGTCGTGCTTTTGCAATGGACACTAAAATAACCTGGTGAAAATAATATTCTTTCCCTGGGGTTACTGACAGCCGGTACATTCGCCAGTTAGGCGTCCGCGCGCTAGGATTCTCTCCCATGGCGCGCACGACCCCAATGCTGCACGCGCACGACGAAAACTTGCACGCGGGGACGTACCTTAGAGGCATCGAGATTTACGAGGCTTTGGTGCCCGCATTGGCTAATGTCGACAGCTTCTAAATCTTCTTTTGATGTAAATAAACTTGCTGATTCAATAAAATATCTTTCATTATACAATTTCCGGATTCAAGACGTACCTACTTAGGTATTCATCAATCAACAGATTCCGCTCTTTCCGTGGATGTTATGAAGTCCATTTGCTTCTGGTCAATTAGAGTGTCGTGATTTTGCAATGGACACTAAAATAACCTGGTGAAAATAATATTCTTTTCCTGGGGTTACTGACAGCCGGTACATTCGTCAGTTAGGCGTCCGTGCGCTAGGCTTCTCTCCCATGGCGCGCACGACCCCAATGCTGCACGCGCACGACGAAAACTTGCACGCGGGGACGTACCTTAGGGGCATCGAGATTTACGAGGCTTTGGTGCCCGCATTGGCTAATGTCGACAGCTTCTAAATCTTCTTTTGATGTAAATAAACTTGCTGATTCAACAAAAGTATCTTTCATTACACAATTTCCGGATTCAAGACGTACCTACTTAGGTATTAATCAATCAACAGATTCCCCTCTTTCCGTGGATGTTATGGAATCAAATCCTCCATTTGCTTCTAGTCAATAAGAAAAAACTTGCACGCGGGGACGTACCTTAGGGGCATCGAGATTTACGAGGCTTTGGTGCCCGCGCTGGCTAATGTCGACAGCTTCTAAATCTTCTTTTGATGTAAATAAACTTGCTGATTCAACAAAATATCTTTCATTATACAATTTCCGGATTCAAGACGTACCTACTTACTTACCTTAGGTATTATTATTAATCAATCAACAGATTCCCCTCTTTCCGTGGATGTCTTGAAGCCAAATCCTCAATTTGCCTTAGGTCAATTAAAGAGTACTTGCTCTAGCATTGGAAACTAAATGACCTGGTGATGATGATGATGATAAAGACAATAAAAACAACATGAGTTTCCCGACGAGACTAGCGTATAGCGGTATATCATTTTTAAATTTTCCAAAAGTGACGGCATTTTATGAAATGGCTCCGTCAATATCGATAGCTTGTGAATTTTCTCCTGTAGTATATTCCCTTTCCTGCACATAACGAGATTGTAGTATAGTTCTCATAAAGAAGAGTTGCTTACCTTTAATTAACTGTGAAATTATTGGTCGATGGCTTATAGTTAGTTAGTTTGTTGTTTCTATTTCTAAAATATCTGCCCTTTAGTCTATGCGGCGCAGAACACAACCTCCACCGGAGGTTAAACTTTTAATGCAATTTTTTAACTTTTATTCTTTATTCAAATTCCCAGGAGTCTGGTGTAGACGTAAGCTTCCACGAAGCTAGTCACGAGCAACGATATCAGGTGTTAAACTTACTTGGGAAATTCCCGTTAAACTTTTAACTGAATAATTGGATAGTTGATTTGTCGTAAATGCCTATAACCCCTCTAAAACAAAACAAGCCTTAACCAAGGAAGCTGGAAACATTGAATTTTCGGATAGATCCAGTTTATTCTGTAACCTGTAGCGTCTAGCTGTCAATGAACTTAGGTATGATGACCTACTTTATTTTATTGCAACATTGTACTTGTGCGTAATAAATCAGTATGAAATTAATATTTGTTGTGACTGCCCGTTTTCCTACTCATACTCAACACACTACATACACACGATTAACTTTACATTGGTGACCCCGATGTGAATCGAGATGCTGATGGGTGCCGTATGCCTAATATTTCTCATCGTGGTGGCATACTGTTTTCTGAAGCGGTGTGTCGCACGTGGCCGGAAGGCCATAACCAACGAGCTCGCGAGGATAACCTCCAACATCCCGATGACATCGGTAGCTGCGGTGCCTGCAGCAACGAGAACCGCACAGGCACAACAAGTGAACCCCGCGTTTGTGCCCTAAATAAGTGATTTTTTTTTTTTTTTTAAACTCAGTGCAGTGTTAACGTGGTAAAGAAGTGCAGTGCATAAAAGCAAAAACCAAGTGCTAGATAATTAAGTACCGATAGCAATATGATTTTTTTTATTTTTTATTAACCATTGTGTAAATGTTTTGTTCATTTCACGTTAACTAGTTTAATGTGAACATGTTTTCTTTTACCAGGAATAGTTATTTTTAAATTAAATTGTTTAATTTTGATTTTATAACTCATAAAATTATGTATACAAAGTTTTTAAAATTTTATTAAATACATTTTAGATAAACAACATGATAACGATTATACTATACAGTAGTTAAGCATTATTGTGTAAAAATGACATCTCATTTTTTTCCCAAAGGGGGAGAGTAATGTAGCGTCTAGCTGTCAATGAACTTAGGTATGATGACCTACTTTATTTTATTGCAACATTGTACTTGTGCGTAATAAATCAGTATGAAATTAATATTTGTTGTGACTGCCCGTTTCCCTACTCATACTCAATCGTGTGTATGTAGTGTGTTGAGTAACTCAACACACTACATACACACGATTAACTTTACAAACCTATTATTAATACCGTTTGATAGAGCTCATGGAGCACTTTTAGGATCAGTAATTAGTTTATTGATATCTTGTATAGTTTAGAATCGAGTGAGATCACTTATCGTTTCCACCCTGTATTTAAAGGTGGTACTTTTCATATATTGGCCACACGTCTAGACATTTTCAGGTACACTAGTATTAAACCGAAAATTCCCAGGTTACCCATAATTTTCCCAGAATTCCTGCCATAAAATCATATCTACATGCCCAACACCTGCTCCGGAGATGTGTCTTATTGACTTAGGAATAAAGGCTATAACGTGCTGGCAATAAAGCGGTCCGAACTCAGGTCATTAGGAACCCAATGGAGCAGTAAACTAGTGCTGTACTGAATAAATTGTTTCCGCAAGGTTTTTCAAAATATTTCTGCTGGTTTTTTCAGCATTTTACAGGAAATTATGTTAGACCTACATTATTTTTTTCTTTCATTTATATTCCATTAGTTGTCTAACTTCTTTCAAGGTAGACACAGATTTTTTTAAGTAAAAACAGGAATAAATGTTTTAATTACCTACTACCAATTTGACTAGAGAATCTATTCGTAAATGTATCGTACAATCGACATCATCAGACTCTACATTTTGCTGTAGATATTGCACAAGACCTAGAATGTAAAATGAAGAGAAAAAGTTTTAATAACAATCAAAAAGACACACAATTGATTTTTTTTTATGCTAGACAAGGCAGGTATTTGAATTAAATATCAATAAAAAATGTTGTTGCTTTAAAAGATCACCCACTCAGTTATCATCTTGACAGCATAGCTCTGCCAAGGCACTTATTTTCAGTGAGTGTTTAGTAGGTAGTATGCATGAAAACCCGACTTCTTGGCGAATGCACGTGAATTAAATGATCGAGTGGCTACTGGCAGCACCGGGGACGTAAACCACATAATTTGCGATACCTGTTGCTTGCAGCGAAATTGCCAACGCCTTGATACGGCCCACGGATAGGGGTGCCACGTCGTCTAACCTAACAGCCGGACAGACCAGCCAGTTACGGACATTTGGGTAAAAATGTCAGGACACCCTAAATTATAAGTACTAGCAACCTGCCCCGACTTCGCACGGGTGCTAAGTATACATTTATAAACTTTCCTCTTGAATCACTCTATTTAGAAAAAAACACAACAACGCAATTTTCCATTGCGTTGTTTTAAAGGTCTAAGCATACATATGGACAGACAGCGGAATGCGACTTTGTTTAATACTATGTAGTGATTTTCCGTCTTTATTTACGTAAAACTAGGCTTTTCTATCATTTACCATAAAACTTATTAAATGCTAATGAATCGTGCGTGAGTGAGTGGTTAATGTAAAGCCTATCAAAAGCCGGACAGGCCGGCCAACGTTTAATTTAGCCGGACACTCGATCATAAAGCCTAACCATGTCCGGCTTTATCCAGACGCCTGGCAACCCTACCCACGGAAATGCTTGCAGTGCTAACCACTCTAACTAGCGCCCAATGAAGGTAAGAAATTACAGTGTTTACGAGGAAAGGAAAAGAATACCTATAGATTTTTAAACCTGTGCTGTTAGAAGTTTTAGTGTTAGCTGGTTTATAGAGGTAAAATGTATGCATGCTAAGTGAGCTTTTTGTTAATGTCCATTTACTGAATACGAAAATAATGCTGAAAGTAATTTCGTGAATGTAACAAAATAAGGAAATAAATGGATTGTTTTATTTTACTATCAAAAATACTGTAGCCCTTTAAATACCAGTTAATCGACGAGTCACAACAGAAATAAATTGTTACCACGGTCTTTTTGTTTCCAAAAATGAAAGTTTATGGTGCTAAATTAATGATAAATACGTGTATAATTGGTTAAGAATCAAATTAACATGCTTTACGAAATTTAGGCTGAGTTGCACCACCTCATTTTAACCGAAAAAATTACAATAACCGGTGTTTTTTGTATGGAGTTTGACAGATTTTTGACATTTGTCAAAGTTAAAGTAAGATGGTGCAACTCAGCCTTAGTGTTGCTCTAAAGACACACCGTGTGCTAAAAAGTAGTAGGTACTGCAATAAACTTTTTTTTTCTTTCAAGGATTCGTTTGCTTTTACTAGAGCGCCAAGTATTTTAAAACACAAAGCTAAGTAATTTTTCAGGCTCAAGAAGTAAAACACTTAATTAATTAAGAATACTCATCTTGAGAG